GGGCGGAGGTGGGCGGAGGTGGGTGGAGGTGGGCGGCGGTCGCGGAGATGGGAGGAGGTGAGCGGAGGTGGTCGGGGGTCGCGAAGTCGAACAGCCCTTGACCCAACGGGCCGTTTGACGTGAACAGGGCCATGGCGCGGCCCCGCAACGGTCCTCTTCTCAACGGGCGTGCCGATCCGGGCCAACGGCCCAGATTTCCACGCGATCTTAAGATTTTAAGATCGTGCGTCGATTTGCCGGACGGTCTGGATCACCGCGCGATTTTAGTCTTAAAGGCTTAAAGTCTTAAGATCGCGCGAAAATCCGGTCCGTTGGCCGGTAGGCCGCGGCGGCCCGGATCGGCCAAATGTTGCGCGCCAAATAGCGATTTCTATAAGTGTAGGGATTGAACGACATTGTCTTTCTTTGAGTCATTGCATTTCAATATAGCAAGGATCATAACACAGGAAAGATGACACACAACTAGCTACCGTTTCCCCCAAACATAACGCATACGTGTTGTAAACGAATGCAATGCATAGATTGATTTGCATTTGAATACAACGCATAGCGTTCTACTCGAACAACTGGTATTCGAATACATCGCATATGTGCTCTATTTAAATCATCGATGTTTTTTTTGAAAACTCCAATACAATGCATATGTGTTATGTTCGGGGGAAGACGGTAGGCATAACAAGCGACAACCAGGAAGGATGCAAGGCATAACAAGAGACACGCAGGAAAGATGGCACGTAGATGGACTCCGAACTCACTGTCATCTCCTGCTCCAGCTTCTCTTCTATCGCTTCCTGTTCCCGTCTTGCGGTCAAAGCTACTTCATTCCATTTCCTAAAAACCATTTTCTGTAGATAAAGAAAACCCCACATGGTTCAATTCAATTGCAATCCAGAACAACCACAAACAGCACTTTGTTCAACCTCCCCCTCCCCCAGGTGCCCCTTCCCCCTCCCCCCCCCCTTAACAACAAATGAATACAGATTATGACTAATTTATTACTTTTATTTGTTTTAATTTGTTACAGATAAGTTGAGATAAAACTGAATCAGTTTATTACTCTTTTTTTATCTAGATGCATGCGCAAGGAAAATGAGCGATAGCGAATTCCAGAAACCAAGCAGCATCATACACAGAAAATCTCGAACCAAAAGCAGAATTGCAACTCAAGTTCCACCAAAAAGAGCACTGTGACAGCAAAAGCTCACAAGTGGCAATGTTGGAGTAGTCTCATCATCATCAGCAATGAACCAATGTCGAATCCCTATCTGGCGCTCAGCGCCCAGACCACGAATGACAGATCCTATCTAGCCTATCTACAATGCCGCTGGTGACGTCAACAGCTTCCCGAAGTACGAGCAGATCTCGTCCAATGCCGTTCGCATCAAGCACCAGGTATGTCTCCCGCTTCACTCACAACCTCAGTCCCCCACGCAGATGCCATGTGCACCCAAGGACCAACATGCGCAACATCCAGCTATGGGCAGGCAAGCTTGGCTATGGCTGCCTGCTCTCTGCCTCGCTCGCCCGTGAGCGCGTGCGCACTTGCGTGCAAATAGCGCAGCATGCAGCAAGTGCCCGAATGTCCAGCCAGCAGCCAGGCCCTTTGCTTTATGGAGTGAGGCTGCCAATCGTGGGCTGCCTGGCTGGCCTGGGCCTCTCCCAGGAATCTTCCGGTAGGCCCCAAGTGGCTGAGCCCCTGTCCCAGGGAATCTTCCACAGAGCCTGGGGAGGTTACCCATGTCCAAATACCCAGTCGGCCTGTGTTCAGTTCATGCACTGTGTCTGGTCCAGGACCTGCTTCCAATTCATCTGATAAAAGGCCTGAAGGCCCGAAAGATTGGCAGGCAGGGCCTGGGCGCATTCAACCAACTGACGTGGCACAACTGCCTGAATTTTCCCAGCTGCGTTGAAAGTTGAAACACAAATTACGCCTCTTGTCACTTGTCAGGCCTGGCTTCCCTTAGGGCGGCCGTTCTTGCTGAAACAAGGCCCAGTAGGGCTTACCGAGGCCTTTAGCCTCGCACATGAACCATTGATTGGGAAAAAAATAAAAAGAAAAAGAAACATTCATTGGTGCTTCACGTGGGTGGAGTTGATCACATGATACTCTGCTAGCCAGAGCAAACGCTTCGCATCTGCACGCAGTGGGCAAGGTACATCCACATATGCTCCCCATGATTGATTCCATGACATGCTTGACATGAGCATTCCCAATAGATTGAAAAAAAAGAAAGTCCATAAAAATGATAAAAAATGCATATTAAAATTTAAAATGCCAGTAAATGGTACCAGATCATCTATTAGGCGTACAAAGTACTTGTTACAAATATTGCCTACAAAGTTATTGCTTCGAAGTACTAAGAACTACCGTCTTCACCCGAATAGAACTCCCGGTCATTATCGCTGCATCTGGACCGAAAGTTTGCCAAATACAGCTATAATGACCGGGCATTCTATTCGGGTGAAGACGGCAGTACAGAGGACACACTAACAAATAACGCTGAGCCTGTTTCCCGGCTTGTATAATAGGAAGGGGGTTAAAAAAAAAACAAAAAAACACTGCGTTATTTTTCCGGGTGCAAAGGCTGCCCTCACCTGCCCAGAAAGGCCGCGTTGTCTGGTCGGGGTTACGGGCGGCCTCAGCGCCCAGGTTCAACCGGGCCTTTTCGAATCCCATAGGGACCCTGATGACCCCGGGACGGTCCTGCACGACACGAAGCCCCTTCCAAAAAAGAAGTCAGGGGTCAGTGACCCCCTTTTTTTCGATATCCAGATCTCAGCCATCGATTTACCAAGATTTTTTTTTTTTTTTTTTTTTTTTGGAAACAAATGCTCCAGTCTATCCGTGGGGAGCAGCACGTGCTGGGAAGCGGGCCCAGCGTCCCATATAGAATTATTCAAATCATTTGAGATATTACTGGGGCCATTACCCGGCTTTCGCTGCGAACAATCTGAGAACACTTGAGGTAGTAATTCATAGCTTACTACATAAGCATAAGGTCACTAGTATCAACATCATAATCATCTTCATTTTCAAAAGAGGGACGCTGAGCCCGGTTCTCAGCTTTTTTCGGTGTTTTCTCCGGGCAGACTGTGAGGACCCCGGCCTCAAACAACTTCATCGATACTATCAACCTTGGGCACTGGGCGCGTTTTTTGTAAAAAAAAAAAAAAAAAAAAAAAAAGTAATTCAGAAAACATGGGGAGAACTACTCATGCAACAACAAACCGCCACAGAAGTCCTTCGGGGAAATAAAAATAATAATAAAAAAAAATGCCAAGATTGATGGCAGAGATTTGGATGAAGTTTAGGATAGAGCACGCCACCTTCGGCTCGGGCCACTCTAAGGACGTACTCACACTAGCACTACCGGAAATGTGTCTGACTGCGTTTCCGGCCGAACCTCTATGCACGTGGCCCCGATTCTGTCCAAAAATATAAAGTATAAAAGTGCTAGTGTAGTATGCCCTAATGTGTTTTGTCCGAGCAACAGTCCATCGTTGCAATCATCCTTCACATGCAGCAAACTTCATCGTCGTCACCCATGCCGTCATCCCCATAACCGCAGCGAACTTATCATCGTAGCCCTTACCATTGCCTCGGCCATTGATGTTTTCACAGTCTTCAAAAGGAAAATTTGTACCCATGGCAAAACGTGTAATTAGGCCCCATGCATCATCCTGACATACTAAGATTCTATAACCAGAGAATACTCGGAGTCCTGAGATACTACTCCTTTGTGGGCAATTGAGCAACTGGAGGACCTAGTAGGAGGGAATGCTCGTATCACCGCTCCTAGTAGGAACCCCGGTCGTTGTTCAAAATAAATAAATAAATAAATGATCGTCATTATGGTCGATAGTTCACTTAATCAAGGAATCTACCTCCACCTCCACCTCCACCTCCACCTCGGCTCCCCCTCCGCCTCCTCCAGCTCCTCTTCCACCTCCCCCGCCATTCCTCTCTCTCTCGCTCGCTCACTCGCCAGCTCACTGAGGATGATAGATGTGTCAATCATGTGATCGTGATAATGATATGGGCGGTGATGAGGCCAATGCGGGAGTGAGGAGGAAGATACCAAATGGAAGAAGGCGAAGGGGGGCCAGAGAATAAATATGATGATGACGATGAGCAACTCACGATAATGACGTTGGGACTATGATGATGATAATGACGATGACAACGAAGTGGTAGGGGTAGGATGACGAGGAGGAGGAAGACGAGGACAAAAACATGGGAAAGATGATGGGGAAAAGATTGCAAGGAAGGAGGAATGTGTAACCCAATCTTTTCTGTAAAATTCTAAGATGGGACACTGGGCCCGGTTCCCAGCAGGTGCTGCTTCCCATGAATAAATGGGAGCTTTTCGCTTTGACAAAAAAAAAGAAAAAAAAAGAAAAAGAATAAGATTTGCAGGTCCATACTGGACTTAGGGCGTCGTTAGACACTCCTCGGGGACGCGAAATCCCCAGGTAATTGCTCGTTCCACCTATCCTCGGGGACGCAATTGGAAAAAAAAGAAGTGAAAACACTGGTAAGGAAATTCCTTGGGCAATAGGAATTTCCCCAGCCATTTCTTCCTACCCTTGGGCACAAGGAATCCGCGTTTCACGGAGAGGAGAGGGCACATGGGTAGACAGACGTTACACCCGAGAATCTGGATCGTGGCGTCATCCTATTGGCTGAAGGCCTGAAGCACAACTGTTTTTTTTTTTCTCTTCTTTTTTTCTTCTTCTGACATCGCTCTTAGGAAATGTCCTCGGGCGACGTCCCCAACACGAAGGGCCCAAATTTCCTTTTGAGCCATTAGGAATCTTTCCTATTGCCCAAGGATTTCAATAGGAGTGTCTAATGACGCCCTTAGACTCTCCACATGTGCTGGTAAGTACGTCGGACGTCGTCAGTAATCAACGTAAATACAGGGAAGATGTTGATTCATGCCTTCCTTGCCACGTCTGGTCTGGTACTCCACCTACACCTTGTGTTCACAAGCTCTCCGTTCAACTGCATCTCGGAGACACAGGTGGGAATGATGAAGATATGGTGATGATGGGGATCGTGATGACGATGATTATGATAATGATGATGATGACGCTGATGATGATGATGATGATGATGATGTGTCAATCGCCCACCTCCTCCTGTTGCCTGTCTCGCTGTGCCGCTCCATGGAGGAATGCGCTCACCTCGCCCATCGTCGGCCTCTCTCAATCGGATCACCAACCTTCCTCCATTGCCGGCCTTTCTCCCGAGACATCCTTCTCCCCCATCACTGCAGTCCTCATCCGTTCCGACTTGTATCTCCCGAGCCGTCCGTTAACTACTACTCTCATCAATGTGTCTGCAGTTGTCGTAGGTAGGGTTGGGTAACGTTGGATAGGGTTCGATAGGGTTGACCATGCGAGGAATTGAACGGGCGATCTCTGGCTCAGCAGCCGGGTGCCTTAACCACTGCAGCCGTGATGCGGTGTTCAGAAGTGGAATCACGTTAACTACTACTCTCATCAATGTGTCTGCCGTTGTCATAGGTAGGGTTGGTAACGTTGGATAGGGTTCGATAGGGTTGACCATGCGAGGAACTGAACGGGGGATCTCTGGGTCAGCAGTCGGGTGCCTTAACCACTGCAGCCGTGATGCGGTGTTCAGAAGTAGAATCATACCGCTCGTGATATCCAACCCGCCCCTGCACGGCTGCGGCCAGACCTCACTCTCCCCACACGACACCGCTCGAGACCATCCTACAGGGCCTGTGGCCCTTTGCACATGCACCCACCTGGTCCGGGTACAATTTCCCGGCTAGTTACTGCGGTGAAGTACGTCTGTACTTTTTGCTCTGGTCGATCCTGCAAGGAATCGAACCGGCAACTTCTGGCTTGACAGCCCAGATGCCTTTTTTTTTCCTTTTTTAGAAAGCCCAGTGTGTTGTAGCGACAGCCAATGGTTGTCCTGACAAGATAGGCCACCTACAGTACCCGCGGTGATTGCTGGTAGCGGCAGCCAGTGGTTGTCCTGACAGGATAGGCCACCTACAGTACCCATCCCCACGGTAATACTCCCAGCGCACCACTGTCCCTACTATCCTACTTCAGTGTGACCAGCACTCAGGACCATCACCCTACCAGTATTGAGGGCAACTTGGACCAGACAGCAGTGACAAGCACCAGGGCTGGGGCGACCTCCCAGCCCTAATGGAAGCGGAAGCAGACGTAACCTTGCCGTACAGGAACTTTGGACGCCAGGCTCATGCAATCTTCTACACGCCCAATTCAGAGAGTCTACCCAGCAGGATTACCTTACCCACTGACGGTCTGTACTTCGGAAGCTTGGATAGGGTTGGGATCGTTGTATAATGGGACGCTGGACCCGTTTTCCAGCAGGTGCAGCTCCCCACAAATAGATTGGAGTAACCATAAAACCCGCTAGCGGGGGGATGCTCTTATCACTCCTCGTAGTGAGGGGACTCTTTTTTTCTTCTTCTTAAGGATAGGGTTGGGATACAGCAGGGCTTAATGACCTTCAGCTGAAAAACACACTGTCAAGTTCTTTTCTTTTTTTTCTTTTTTTTTTTATTAAACAGGGCCCCAGTGCCCAAGGCTTAGATTATCAAGTCTATTACACCGCATACACACGCCTCTTCCCATTAGGGCTGGAAGAGCCTCGGCCACTGCTCCCGAGGAGACAGCTTCTCATTTCCCAGTCGTGCAAAAGCTTTGCCGAGGCTTCTCAGTAGGGGAAGACAATAACAACTTGTAAAGAGACGCCCGGCCAGGTGATTTTGATAGGCGGCAGTCAAATTTGAAGAAGTTATTAGTTTGTCAGGTTTGATCTTGGATGTACATTTGTTTCTGCCTGTGGTGTGCTTCTGCAGCAATGCATGGGCATGCCAATGGGGAAGGCATGTAGTCCAGCCCTCGCTTGTCTCCTGTGTGCTTATCATGAATATCACTTTATTAGCTCTCTTGGGTCGATGGGAAGGCTCGCGTATGGATGCCGGATTGTGGATGATGTTTCCATTTTTGTACGATACCAAAAACAGGACATGGTGTCAAAGGATAAAGCTGAGAAGGTGATCTAGCTTTTTGAGAAATGTTACACGAGAACTTGACTTTGGAGAGGACTGGCAATGGAAGGAGTTGGGATTTTCTGGGCTGTGTTATTAATGTACGAGAATGGCCAGTGGGTATTGTTTGTGCTGCTACACACAAGAACCAGGGTGTGGTACGATGTCGTACTCTGCTCTTTCAGAATCTACAGGACTACTGCACATACTCCAGCAAGCAGCAAAAAATGGCCGTAATCTACTCTTTTTTGTACTGTGCAAAAAGGTACACAACAATGAGGGGTGCGGAGGCTGCCTTTTTGCTCACACTGGAAGTTGAGCTCAGAATGAGAGGATTTCCTGACCGGTACTTTGACTCTGCGCTGATTCTCTTCTCTCCGAAGTTTGGTAGGGTATGAGATGGATGGGTGGAGTGTCTCACGGGGTGGGGGTAAGGTAGTGGATGGATAAGTAGGAGTTTTTTGTTTCTTTTTTTTTTTTTTGGCTATTTTTCTTCTTTTTTTGCGTAGGATGGTATTGACGCTAGGAACTCCCGTTCAAAATTTGGGCCGGTCGACGCAGGTCGGTGGATAATAGTATGTTGCTGTCTGCGAACCTTTCCTACGGACAGAGGCGTGTATGAGATGTCGGTGGTTATTCTGAAGCCTTGAACCTTATATCTGTAGCCTAGAATTAGTGCCTTGTTCTGAGGAAGGTCGGGCTTCGAGTCTGTTTCTCTTCCTTTTGTCCTTTCGGTTGTCCAAAGGTGGATCTGAATTTGGTCTATTCCTTGATTCTGTTTCTTCTCTGTTCCTTTTGACGCTTCGATCTGTTTTTTCTGCTCCCCTAGGACTGGGCTTCGGTTCAACTGATTTCAGTCACTATTGTGGCCCTGGTACATGGATCTGAATCTGGTCTACTTCTTGGTTCTGGTTCCCTCTCATTTCTGTAGCGGAGTTTTCTTCTGATTTCTTTGTCCTTCTCGGTCTTTCCTTTTCTTTTATCTTCATTTGGATTCTTGTTGACGCCTCTGGGCCGGTCTATTCCGCGGTCTTTGGAGCTACAAATAGGTACGATGAAACAAGTCTCATCCTCCTCAACCGCGACGTGATATGACCCCTGATGACGACCGGCTGGCGACCGATCGAAACGCGGCGTAGGGTCGCGCCATCATCAGATAGTTGCTCTTTCAGGATGTTGACGACGCGCATGCTTCGTTAACCTTTTTTGCAAGTGCTGGCTATGGCAGGCTGGGTTATTTTAATATTTTAATCTGACCTGTCGGGTCGCGTTCGGGAGAAGACTCGAGTGTCATTGTGTGCTCTCATTTCTGGTCTATTTGCTCCCAATCTCTGTTCTGGTCTATGGATGGTCGCTCGGATTCTCTCTTTCTTCTATAAGAGAGCCGGTTAACCGACCCCCCATTTTGTAAACGTGAATGTCGTTATCTCATTTGTCATATTGAACCTTACTGCAAACAACCAGGTGGTTTCCCGGCTTGTTAAACCACCAGTGCGGTAGTACCTACCGCATTTTTCATACTCCTCGGGTTCGAATGAGTTTGGACCGGAGGGGCAGGCCGATTCGGCTACCGTGTTAACGTCTGCCCCAACCGGTAGGTACGGGGTGGTTTAAACCACCAGTACATGGTACCCCAGCCAAGTTGAGAATCCGATTGAGCCTGTCCTAAAATTTGGAGGCTCGGGACAGGGCGTCTGAAGGGCCAGTAGGAAAACAAAACAAAAAAAAAAAACATGTCGTGGGGTGGCACTAGGACCAGCCCTGAACAAAAAAAAAGAGATTCCGCCCGCCCCAAGGAAGCGGGGCCCTGTCCATAGTCCCCTAACTTTTTTGGACAGGCTCATTCGAATTCTCCCGATGTACTGGTGGTTTAAACCACCAGTACATGGCCCCGGCCCCCAGGCATCTGGAAAACCTGTTTTGAGCCTCTCCGAAAATTTAGGAGGCCGAGGGCCGTCGATTAAATGAATCGGCGGCGGGCGGCCTCCAAAAGGGGCTCGCGCCTGATAGCTGGCATGTACTGGTGCTTTAAGAAAGGAAAAAGAAGCTTTGCCAAAGACACACATATGCCCCAACCAACCACCCCCCTTTGCATCCATCTCACCTCTGTCATGTATGCGCGATGCTCACATAGAAGGGCTGCCTCCTCACGGCATAACCGTTTGTGAGTTACATCTTTTCCGGTACAGAAAATATGTTAAGGATTCCATTCCTTGGTTCTTTAGAAAACAAAGAGTGTGTGTTCTTCCCCAAAACTAGCAATGCAATAATGTATGCCTTACTGGTTTTTTAAACTTTGTTTCTGAACTTTATGGCATATTCACACATGGACTTTTTTGACTGAATGTGGGCCCCAATTGCTTGCCAATTCATTTGAAAAATGTCCTAGTGTAAGCATCCCCTTCCTTGCCATGAACATCAGTTGCTGGCGTACAGCCAACTACAAAGTCCCGGCGTTTCTGCATATTTCAGAAAAGCTGAGAAAACTAAATGACCTGTTGTGGTTTCTCCTGGGGAGAAAAAAAACAAAAGTTCAAAAGAGTGTAGAGTTGTAGATAGTGTAAAAAAAAAAAAAAAAAGGGACTGGGAATCAGGTCCAGCGTACAGTCGTAGACAGTAGATAGTATTGTATATGTATGAGAGAAGAGGAGAGTTTGGGGAAAACGACAAAAAAGAGCATGCGAGAGAAACTGCAAATCACCTGTTGCATGGCAGACCATGTGCAAAGTTGCAAACACATTACCTTTTCCTTTCTTTTCTTCTTTCAATTTTTTTGTTTTTGTTTTTGTTTGTCCTTGTCTTATGTTACTTTCTCTATTGTACTTATGGGATGATGAGACCTCTTTCTTTTTGTCTTTTTTTTCTATCTTTTCCCCTTTTTGCCACATGCCACTAACCATGAATAATGGCATACTCACACTAGGCCCTCAAAATCGCAAAATCGCAAAATCGCAAAATCGCAAAATGAGTGGCCAGATTGAGTCCTTGTAACCGAAAGACTCGATCTGACCGCTCGTTTTCGTATTTTGTGATTTTGAAGGCCTAGTGTGAGTATACTCTAAATCAGAGCCATCTCTATGGTGTAGAGAAAGAGGGAAAAACGGAAACACAACCTAGTTTTGGAAACACACACACACACACACACACACACACACACACACACACACACACACACAAACAACCCGATCCAGAGACGTGTGCCAATCGCCTGCTGCATAGCGGATCATCCGGGGACTTGTTTTTTTTTTCTTCCAATCAGGACACAATTACATTATAGAAATTTTCTAACTGTTTATTCTTTTAATGCCGTAAACGAACTCCTTCACAGATGATAGCAAGCATGCAATGACACAAACTGCAGTTCTTCTGACGTGATGTAGTAGATGTACTTCCCCTCCCTCTCACCCCCTCCACCCCTCGGCCTCTCTTGCCCTCTCTCTCATTCTCTCCCTCTCAACACAACAACCCCCTTCCCCCTCCTTTATCCTTGGCATCCTTCCTTGACGTCATGTCACGTCTCTCTCTCTCTCTCTCTCTCTCTCTCTCTCTCTCTCTCTCTCTCTCTCTCTCTCTNCTCTCTCTCTCTCTCTCTCTCTCTCTCTCTCTCTCTCTCTCTCTCTCTCTCTCTCTCTCTCTCTCTCTCTCTCTCTCTCTCCCCCCCTCCCTCTCCCTCTCTCTCTCTCTGGATGGATGGATGGATGGAATGCAAACACAGATGAGAATGAGACCACAAAGCCTACTCTCTCCCCCTCTCCCTTATATATTGTCACATAACTACGAACTAAAAGAGCGCACTTTGCGAAACAAAAGGCAAAAATAACAAATAAAAAAACAAGACAAACATCAAGGGGACACTGAAACCATTCATTTTTCTCATTCTTCTTTTAACACCCCCTTCACCGTGCCTCTCACGTACAAGGATCGCCCCGTTGATGAAGTTGGGCCTGAGCTGCCCCCATCCCTGTGTGCCATAACGGCCCACTTGTACGCTGTGAGAAAGGGGCAGAGTGAAGAGGGAGGGGATAAACACAGGGAGGAGAGATGGAGAGCAGACAAACAAAGAATGATAAAGGGAAAGTGAGGGAAAGTACGGAGTGTTCACCTCATATTGATAAGAAGTCTAGAGAACAATTTCAATTGAGCATCCATAGACAATTAATTGTAATACAGACAGAAGCAAAACAAGTACGTGAAAAGTTGCATCATACGGAACTCCATGATTGGCCTTCAACAATTTCAATTGAAATATATCATATAAATGTTCGACTCCCATGTTCGCGCCATCAAGGGGGGTACTAGGGGGAACTGAGCAAAGCCTGCTGGCGGGAAATGGTGGGAAAGGCAGTTGGCGGCAGGAACATGTGGGATTTGTGGGCGGCAAGGGAACGTCTGGGGGAGACGGGAAAGGTGGCGAGAAGAGAGGGCAGAGAGAAGCTGGGTAAGTACTAAGTTGTGGAGGAGAGACGTGGGGAAGGAGGCTGGCTGCCGAAGGATGGGCCACAGCGGCAGCGGCAGCGGCTGCAGTGCTAGTCTGGGTCGATAAAAAAAATCGGAGGGAGAGGGCAGCAACAACAAAACACGGCAAAATTCGCTTTGCGAGTTTGCCCCACAAAAGTACATCTCCCACCCATACCGTTGCGGTTTTGGCTGCACGGCAAACTGGGCAGTGGACCAGAGCACAGCCCAGATCAGAGGCCAGGCACACAACATATAGGCCGGTCGACAGGGCGGACTGACACACGATCTTAAGTTTTTAGGCCGCTAGTATACGGCCCCAGCCTTGCAGAAAGTTTTTGTTGCCACAAGCAAAACTCGGATGAGCCGCGCGGCCAGGCCCACCGTTGAAAAAAAAAAATTGGCGGCCTCCAAAGTGGTGTGGGTTTCATGCTGACACCCGCGGGCCGATATGTGGTGTACCGGTGCTTTAAGACTGCCTGATGATCCAGGTCGTTTGACCCGGTAGGATGCCAACGGCCTGGATTTCAGATTTCTTACATTCCTGGCAGTACTGTTTGGCAGTGTTTGCTTCTCCATATTTCAATGTGTTTCAAAAGCTATTGAAATGTGACTCAGTATTCAGCAAATATAATCCAATGTAAATCTGGAGCCACGTCCTTCGGGAAATGCTCTAAATTAGCACACGCTTACAGAGAAGATAATCCCTTGTTCCAGGATGACACACAAGTCGATAAGTTATGCAAATGGGCCTCGCTCCACTACACAACACTCTACATGCATTTGGCTGCCATCTGGACCAGGTGCATTCGGAGGAGTCAAACATTTTGAACATATCGGTACCAGAAAGCGTCCAAATGCATGGAGAGTGCTCTGTAGTTGAGCGAGGCCCAATTTCAAGGGGAAAAAATAAAGAACAGAAATCCGGAAGGATACAAGTTTTCCATTGTGAAAAGGCTGTCCTCTGCAAGCGCTTGTGTCTCCATGCTGTGACCACTTGCATAATTTTTGCTTTCTCTTTTCGCCTTTCCTTCTGCACACCAAGAAACCTTGTCCAATGGTCTAGGCACCTCCTCTTCGTCCAGAAATCCGAGAACGCACCGGCCTTCTCTGGAACAAGCAGGTTCATGTTTGTGCGTACCCCCCCGTCCCCTCCTCCACCGCCCCCCTCCTTCCTCCCTCGCCCCATCACCTCCTCACCCCCCTTCACTCCTCCCTCGAAACCCCCTCCTTCCCCCCCATTTCTCCTTCCCCACTCCCCTCCTCCCTTGCCCCCTCCCCCCCACCACCAAGAAGGAATAGTGATGACAAAGTTAAAAACAAAGTTCAGCAAACAAGGTTCACACTACTTCATAGTTGCAACATCCCCAGGAAAGCTCAGCAAACAAGGTTCATAGTTGCAACATCCCCAGGAAACTTACGAGTCACAACCAAACCATTTTATTTTATTTTTTTGAGAAAAACTCAGTCCCCCTGCTAGGAGAGGTGATAAGAGCATCCGCCCCTAGCAGGCTTCCTGGTTGCTCCGATCTATTGGTGGGGAGCCACACCTGATGGAAACCGCGTCCAGCGTCCCATCATACATCAAGTATTCAGTGTCCAGTGACGGCCTGCCAGCATTGATTACCCTGATACTCAGGGGATTAACTGAGCAGGAGATAAGTTTACGAGGGAGGGATGCAGGGGGTTTGGGAGAAAAGCGGTCACATCAGCCCTACTGCTACTCATGACAAAGTTTTTTCAGATATAAAAGTGATATGTTATGATCCTGGCCAATATTGAGATACACATTCATCAGATAACACAATGCTGTCCAATTGCAGAAAGAAATAAATGAACTTGAGAGGAGAGAGAGGATTAGAAGAAGAAGAAGAAGTAAGAAAGAAGAAGAAGATGATGTACACCAGCATAGGCAAATGACAAGGCTCTTCTTCTTCGCCCAACAATCTCCTCCTCCTTATCTCCCCCTTCTCTTATTCATACAAGTGGACCCGCCGCAGCGACGCTGCGGCTGAGGAGAGGGATGAACAGGGGGGCCGGGTGTTGTTGTCACACAGGCGGGGCCCTCCTTTTTTTTTTTTTTTTGATGTGACATCCAAAAAAACATGACTGCGGCCCTTGTCCCTCCGTCTTTCAAAGTAGTGTTTTTCTATCTGTCCGCAGCTCGGTGATAACCTTGGCGTTTTTTGCACATGGATACACAGAGAGAGGCCGCGTGCGACCGATGCAGCATCTTGACGGCGATGTGAGCATTGGAGATGTCGTTTGTTGTAGTGCGCAAACAAAAAAAAATGTGTCGATGTGTCATCGACAACAGTCGACCACGTGGATTGTTGTTTTTTTGCACGTTTGTCATGCATATATTCAGACGTCCATGCCCTTTTTTTTTTGTATTTCTTTCGCGAGATGGTCGATCATGAGTCCGGTCCCGCATGTTTTAGAATTCCATGCATTTGAAAAAAGGCGGAGACATTTCTGTTTCTGTGTCGAACAAAAAACAAACAAACATAAAAAAAAATCGCTGTGGACATCTCATCAACAACAATAGGGGATGCCGATCCTAACTCTCCTACTGGCCCTCGTCCACCTGTTCGGGATGTCGCTCATCCCGATTGTCCTCCTTCCCCATACGATCGGCCCGTCCTCTCCCCCCAGTACTCCCTCCTCCCCCTGCTCCCGGTTTTGCTCTTCCTTCCCCTGTTCTCCCTGCTCCCCGTCGTTTTCCCCCTACTCTCAATGCAGAAATGAAGATGCCTCTCTCTCTCTCTCTCTCTCTCTCTCTCTCTCTCTCTCTCTCTCTCTCTCTCTCTCTCTCTCTCTCTCTCTCTNTCTCTCTCTCTCTCTCTCTCTCTCTCTCTCTCTCTCTCTCTCTCTCTCTCTCTCTCTCTCTCTCTCTCTCTCTCTCTCTCTCTCTCTCTTAGCTTTGCTCTTCCTTCCCCTGTTCTTCCTCCTCTCCGTCGTTTTCCCCCTACTCCGCTAATGTCAATCCGGATTCTCGCTGCGTTGTCCCGATTCCGCTCCTTCCCCCACCTGCTCTCCTTTTCCCCAAAATGGTAATGGCATCCCGATTTTCGCATTCCCGCTCTCAACGTAGAAACGAAGATGCCCCGCTATAAGCAATTCCAGATGGGTTCTGGCCACCCACACTAAGCTGTCTGTGCACTGGGGTATTAAAAGAAAAAGGGCAGGCCTGCTAACGAAGGTGGTATTGCAAGGTAGTGGTTAAAAAAGGGAAAATCAAGTGGCCCTTGACTGATCTAAGGCATGCTTCAATTGCTTGAAGGCCTTCTCACAGGCATGAACTGTGTTACGGACTCCGCCAGGGCTCGATCCCTGGTCCATATTTTTGCTGTTTCTGCTGCTTCCTGTTTTCGGCCTGGCACCTTTTTTCCAAACCCCTCCTTTAGTACCATCGGATTTTGGACAACTGGCGCCATGCTGCGATTCGGGTGCCACTTTCAAATACCGCACTTTTCAGTTCTGCCCTCGGGGCTTTTGCAGATCTGCCCCCGGTACTGTACCAGACACCCGGTACTTATACCGGTGCCCCGTACAGTACGGGGACCAGTCTCGTACCAGTTTCCAGCTGCTGTACTCGTACCCAGTGGGACTTGCTCCTGTTTTCGGCATTGGGAATCCAAGACTTCGACTTTGTGTCCTTGCCACTGTGTCAGCGTCCAACCCTCAGTCGTGTCGAGTGAGTGTGTGTGTGTGTGTGCTCTCACTCTCTCTCTCTCTCTCCCTCTCCTCTCCCTCGGCTCTCCCTGTCTCCCTCAGCCTCGCGTTCGTTACACTGGCATCGGAGCAGTTCGCTCCCCCATCGCCGCCGTGACCTTCGACGCCGCCGCGATGTTCGTCGTTGCCGAAGACTACCGCCGCCGCCGTGATCTTGCCGCTGCCGTGACCTTCGCCGTTGCCATGGTCTTCGTCGCTGCCTAGATCCCCGTCGTCGTCACTACCAGGTAAGCAACAAAATTTTTATTTTTTTTCCTTTCTTCTTCTTCTTCTTCTTCTTCTTCTTCTTCTCCGATTGTTTCCCCCCCCGTCGTTTCTTTCCCCCCACCTGATCTACTTCCGCCCCCGATCCACTATCCTACCCCCGTCCCTACGTTCCCCCCAACGCGCTACTCCTCCGACTTCCTTCCCCCCCC